GATGTGATTTAAATAAGATGATATGACTTAAATAGGATAGTGACTTTTTGACTTTTTTTATTATTTAGATCATGCCAAACTTGACCTTATTTAGAACATCTAAAATCAAGCCTAATTAATGAGTTGATTTATTATTTGTCTTTTCATACACAAATCGAATGGTAATGTAATTATTTTCACACCTAATTAATATCGTTTTTATAAATTATAATAAATTAAAAAAATCTTAATAATAATTTTAAAAATAAAAAATATTAATATAATTATTAAAATTATAAAAAAAATTATAATGATCAAAATTTTCATATAATTTACCCTTATTATGATAAAAACTTCAAAAAAGGTAATGTTAAAATATAGTATAAAATATTCGGAGTTGAAAAAAAGACAGAGAGGGAGAGGACAGAAGAACCAGGAGAGACTGACTGACTGAGAGAGTAGTCAGCCGTGCTGTAGTCGAGGCAGAGAGCAGGAGCAGGAAGGAGGACGAGCAGCTGTCAAAAGTTCTGTCTCTCCTCTCTCTCTCTCTTTCTCATTTCCCCAAAATGCAACCTAGTGTTTGACATTTTGCTTTCAACGGTATCATTACTCCCCAGCTTTTTCTTCGCTCCCCCCATTTGTTTGTTTTTGTTCTTTCTCTTGTCTGTCTTTGACTCTCCCTCCCCTACTCTAACGCCCCTACCCTTTCTTAGATCTACGCTTTTCGAATTGCACATTTTTCCATAATTAAAGGCCAAGAAAAGAAAAGTGAGTCTTCAATTTTTTATACACTAACAATAAAACAAGGGAAGGAACACAGATGATCAGTGATGAAAAATGATTATGATTTGAAAAGTTGGTAAAAAATTAATTTTTTAATTTTTTAATGTTTTTAGCAAAAAAATTGGATTATTTTGGATAAAAAGTTGAAAAGTTAAAAAAATTGGCTTTTTTGGCAACTTTTGAAAGGATCTCTAAGTTTGACAAGTTGTCAAAAAGTTATTTAAAAAGTTAAAAAGTTATCACTATTTATCAAAAGTTAAAAATTACGGCTGCACAACTCTCAATCTTAATTTTTTCCTACACACTAATTTATATAATTTTTTAATATATATTTTTTTCATAAAAAGTCAAAAAATTAACACAAACATCTATATTTTTTTCTTTAATTTTTTAGTTCAAAAAGATAAAAAATGCACTTATTTATGACACCCTAATAACCCCTTAATATTATTAATAGGATACGGGGTACTGCTGTGCCCCAAGGCACAGCAGTTACGGCTGTCCTCTTATGGGAGATTTTTTCGAGTATTTTTCGATAATTTGAACCGTTCATATCGTAGGATTCGTCAAGATTATTATTCATACAAAAAATCAAGTTAATCGAATATTCATAACCTCATGATCAAGTTCAAATTGTTTTAAAAAATTTATGAAAGTTACGTTAACCGTTAATTTTTATAAAAACAAATGTGCTTTGGTTAGAGGGCTACAGGTATCTAATCAATTTGATTTTTTTCCTGGATGACCTATTCGACGAGCCCTACAATGTGAACGGTTCAAATTATCGAAAAACGTTCAAAATAATCTCCCACAAGGGGACAGCAGCAACTGCTGTGCCTTGGGGCACAGCAGTATCCCCCATTCCTTATTAATATATCATTAATGACATGATATCATAGGAACTTTATTATTGATGTGATAGTTTGGTCTTTATTTAATTTTTGGGCAAATTACATATACACCCCTCCAGGTTTGGTTAAATTAACAATAAATCATAATTTCATAATTATTTATTATAATTTTCAACTTTTTAATCTAATTTTAATTTAATTGTATTTTAGATGGTAATTAATTCTAAATCCTTAATTATTTACTGTAATTCCTAACTCTTTAATTTAATTATATTTAAATCACAATTAATCTTAAAAATTCAATTATTTATTGTAATTCGTACATCTTAATTTAATTATAGTTTAGATCAATCCTTAATTATTATTTTTGTATTTTAATTTAATTATATTTTAGATCAATCCTTAATTTAATTTGTTTTTAATTAAGATCTTAATCTAATTTTAGATTTGGAGAAGATAAGGGTAAAATGGTATTTTTTCTTGAGTTAATTTCACCTTATTTTTTTAGAAAACTAGTGTTACTCTTAAAAATGGTGTGTGTGATACATATTTCATTTGGTTGGATAAACTAACGGCTGTACCTTAGTCCAAAACCACATAGAGCTTTCTAATTATATTTGGGTCTAAAGTGCTCCAGCCTTAAATCACAAGTGGATAAAATGAATTTTTTCAAAAAAAAAAAAAAAAATTACCACAAAATTTCATAATAAGCACCAACATTACTGATAAATAAGACAAAAAAATTATCAAGTTCTCCAAAAGTTGCTCTTGATTATTAAGAAAATTAACAAAAACTAATTGAGAGTCATTTCTTCTCTCTCAGCTAGTTAAAACTAAAACATACGAGTGTTTTAAAAACTTTTTTTTTTTTTGTACCCAAAAGTAAAAATTTTGTTAGGAAACCAATTTCTCGTGTAAATCATCACGGAAAGCTCATCTCAAAAAGTCAAAAATATAAAAAAGTAAAAAAATCTTTAGAAATAAAAATATTAAAAATATCGCTAGTAAATGAATTTTTATAACCAAAACAATTTCGAACCAAAATGTTTACTTTTTTAGACATTTTTTTTTATAACTAAATATCTAATTTATCACTAAAAATGTAACAATGATACTTTTGACAATTAAAATATTTCATTTTTAAAAAATAATTTCATTTTTAAAAAATAATTTCATCTTTAAATTTTTATCTCTAAAATTTTAATTTATTACAATCACTACACGTAAAATTTTCTCTAAGTCAACAATTCAAAGTGCCACATAAATAATTACATGTAGTGCTCTGAGAATATCTATTACAAGGCCACGTATATTCATAACTAAACCGTACCATACACAATTTTAAGGGATTGTAGCGTGGCATATTCATTTTTTTTTGTTGGTACAAAGTTCAAATGGTTTAGATTAAAGTGAAAATTTAGTTTTTAAAAAAATTAAAAATTAAAACTTAATTTAGTGAAAAAAAAATATTCATCATTTTCATATAATTTTATCTTCTAATAATTTTTTTAAAAAATGAATTAATTTTTTTAGTTTTTATTTTTATTCTCTGATGTACCAGCGGTTTGAACCGGAGTCAAAACTTTGGCCAATGTGAACGCAGACACGGGATCACATGTATCACATGAAGACAGACGAGGTTGACAAATATTCTACGAATAGAGGACTAGTTGTTTGACATCTCTAAATAATTGAATTTATTTGGCTTACCAAGCTTCTCTATTTGTTTATAGAGTTAATTATTTAAAAATTTTATTTATAAATGTTATGATAATTCAGGTCATATCTATTTTTTTTTTTGAATTAATAAGAGATAAAAATGAGAATATTATCAGTTTTTCTCAATTTTTAAAACTAAGAACATTATCAATTTTGTATAGTAATGTTTCAGATAATTATAGAGCATACGACTAAATGTTATTACTTATTTATTGGTGTGATTCAACTATCCAATAAAATCGAAAAGATTATTCAGCTTGTTTGGTTTTGGTTTTGGTTTTTAGAAAACAGTTTTCAGAAAATTCTATTTTTTTATTTTCCATATTTTAATGTTTTCAATTAATTTTTTTAATATTTTAAGCAATTTTTTTTTTAATATTTAGACACACCTAACATAAATACATTTAAAAAGTACAATATTTGTGAGAAAAAACTTTACAAAATTCACTAAATACCAAAAAAATATGAAAATTCAGTCTATTTTTCGTATTTTTGTGTATTTATTAATTTAAAAAAATATTTTTTTACAAACATTTTATTATTTAGATACATCTAAGTAAGATGCATCTAAAAAAGTAAAAAAAGTGCTTAAAATTTTAAAAATATCCACTAAAAACAAAACAAAAAAACAAAAAATAAAAAAACTCAATTTTTAAAAAACTGAAACCAAATGCACTGATTAATTTTTTCCAATTTTAAAACTGAGAACATTATCATTTTTTTCAATTATATCTTCTTTTTTTTCAATTTTGCATATCAATGTTCTATCATCATACTCATTTATAGATACGAAATTTTTAGTTTTGCACAAAAAAAATATTTCAATTTTTTCTTTTTACACATAATTTTTTCTTAGTTTTTTCAATTTAAAAGTTGATATTTTAAAGTTTTGAAAATTAAAATAAATATCAAATCATCATGTTCATTTATATATAATTATAAATGATGAACGATTGTTATTTGAAGGGCAATTTCGACTATTAAAAATTTAATGAGACTTGAAAATCAAAAAAATCTTAATTAAGACTTAATGGAATATAAATTCATAAATTAGGACTTATGTGTAAATGCTCCTTGGTTATATATTTTTTAATTATTGTTTAAAAGACAATTTTAATTTTTAAAAATTTAATGGGGACTTGAAAGTCAAAAAAATCTTAATTAAGACTTAATGGAACATAAATTCATAAATTAAGACTTATGTGTAAATGCTCCTTGTTTATATATTTTTTCATAAAAAAATAAAAAATATACTTATTCAAAATTATGGAGTAGAATTCCCTTTAGCCACTGTTTTGGATTGGATGGCACTGTTTCAGCCCGTGAGATTCACGACGGGTCTCGTTTTAATAATTTAAATAGTTTATTTTGTCAAAATTTGTGTGTATTTTATTCATAGAAAAAATTAAATTGATCCGATAATTGTAATTAATTCAATTTTATCGTATTTTTCACACACACAAAAAAAAAAACTAATTATAATTATCAAATCAATTTAATTTTTTATATGAATAAAATATATAAAAAATTTAATAAAATAAAATATTTAAATCATCACGACGGAGTCTGTGTGAGCCCTACAGGCTGGAACAGCACCGCCCAGCCTAAAATATTGACTGGAGGGATCCCCTTCCTTAAATCATTCCAAACAACCCACCCAAACGGAGTCTATATAAGCCCAAGCAATATGCATAGCAATGACACACCAGTGCTAGATCACAAGTCATTTTTCAAAGCATAATAACATTGAGTTGTTATCACCACAACACCTCTTTCTTTGCATTCCATACTTGAAATGGATAGCTTAGGCCTTTCATCAACTCTCCTAAGGTTTTTCTCTGTGCTCATCACAATATTGATCTTCTACATCATTGTTAAGTACCAACATCTAAAGCGTACTATGAAAACTAAACTAGTCTCACTCCCCCCCGGGCCAAAACCATGGCCTATCGTGGGGAACCTCCCTGAAATGCTCAAACACAAGCCCACATTCCGATGGATACACCAAATGATGGAGACAATGAACGTGGAGATCATGTGTATCCGCCTTGGGAACGTGCATGTCATCCCTATCACTTCTCCAGAAATTGCACGAGAGTTCTTGAAAAAACAAGACTCTATCTTCTCCTCAAGGCCATTTTGCATGTCTGCTGATCTCACCAGTCGGGGTTACCTAACAACAGCTTTGACCCCGTTAGGAGAACAATGGAAGAAGATGAGGAGAGTCCTCGCTTCCGACGTTCTCTCACCGGCAAGACATCGCTGGCTTCACGACAAACGAGTCGAAGAAGCCGACCACATTGTTCGTTATGTCTACAACCAATGCAAAAACTCCATGATAGGAGGTGGTGCAAGTGTTGGCATGGTGAACATTAGAGTCTCTGCGCAACACTATTGTGGGAATGTGATAAAGAAGATGATCTTCAACAAGAGGTTTTTCGGGGAGGGAAGGGAAGATGGAAGTCCAGGTGTGGAGGAGGAAGAGCACATGAGTGCATTATTCACCATCCTTGGGTACATTTATTCATTCTGTGTCTCTGATTACATACCATTCTTACGAGGACTTGTTGACTTAGATGGTCATGAGAAAGTCATGAGGAAGGCTGTTGGAACCGTAGCAAAATATCAAGATCCTGAAATTGACGAGAGGATCAAACAGTGGATGGATGGTAATATTGCTACCAAGAAAGAGCAAGAGGACTTGCTTGATGTGCTCATTATGCTCAAAGACGCAAATGGTGGTCCATTGCTATCAACAGAGGAGATCAAAGCACAAATTGTAGTAAGTATTTCCCTGACTTAATAAGTAAATAATAATAAATAAAGAGCCCAAAAAAAAAAAAAAAATTAGACCGTGAGATCTATTATGAGCTCCGTTTTAATAATTTGAACCGTTCATTTTGTTTGGTATTTTGTCTATGTCATTTATAATAAAAATTAGATCAATCTGATAATTATAATTTGTTCAATTTATTATTTTTGTTATCAAAAAAAAAATTATGATTCATTTTTTAAAAACATAATTGTCGTCCATTTTTTTTAGTAAAAAACATGATAAATTGAACAAGTTACAATTATCAGATCGACTTAATTTTTTTATAGATGAAATACACGAAATGTCTAATAAAATAAACAGTTTGGTTGATTAAAACAAGGCCCATGATGAATCTCATAAGCCCAAATAGCACCTCTAGTCCATATTTGGGACTAGAGGGAATCCTTCTCTTATATTTAAAAAGAGTATTGTTATTTAAGACAAAAAATTAGACCCAACTTTCAAAACTCAGTGACGTGACAATCAATTAAGATATAAAAGGTAATATTTTCTCTAATTGTCAATCAATTATATCACTTATACATCTTCTTTTTTTTTTTTTTTTTTTATATTCATAAAAAAAAAAAAAAATAAGTAAAAAAGAAAAATATGTTGATTATATCAAAATTTGGGGGCACCCATAATTTTAGTCCATCATGGGTAGGGACACTGTTGCTGACATAATAACCTCTATACGAAATGCTGACATGGATAGAAAAAGAGTAGTTCGAATAGCATCTACTAATATCACCGAAAACATTGTTAAAATCTTTTTACGAGAAGGTTTTATCGAGAACGTGAGGAAACAACAAGAAAGCAAAAATTTTTTTTTGGTTTCAACCCTGCGACATAGAAGGAATAGGAAAAGGCCTTATAGTAGAAATATTTTAAATTTAAAACGGATCAGTCGACCGGGTCTACGAATCTATTCTAACTATCAACGAATTCCTCGAATTTTAGGCGGAATGGGAGTTGTAATTCTTTCTACTTCTCGAGGTATAATGACAGACCGAGAGGCTCGACTAGAAGGAATCGGCGGAGAAATTTTGTGTTATATATGGTAATCCTTATTATATCCGAATTCGATCCAAAACTTCCTATTTGTGAAAAAAAAAATAAAAAGGGCGGATTGTCTAATCTCGTTCCTCCTCCATTAGTTAATACTTCAAGGAGGTTTTACCTGGAATGAAAGAGCAAAAATGGATTCATGAAGGTTTAATTATTGAATCGCTTCCCAATGGTATGTTCCGGGTTCGTTTAGATAATGAAGGTCTTATTCTAGGTTATGTTTCAGGAAAGATCCGACGTAGTTTTATACGGATACTGCCAGGAGATAGAGTCAAAATTGAAGTA